CCCATTGGTACCAGTCCTCCCAGGTGGGACTTGTTCTACCCTCCTGTTCTTTAATTTTGTAAAAGAAAAAAGATGACATTTTTATTTGTTTAAGATAGCTACCCAGGGAGTATCTTTGTGGCATTTCCATGTATATATGTATTATAACCCAAATGGGTTCATCTCCTCTATTTTTCTTCTTTCTACCTTAGTCCCCTTCTTATGGTGATTTCAACAGGTTTGAAGATTTCTATATTCGTTTTTATATAGAGAGTACATCAACCATTTTCAATATTTTTTGAAATAACATATGTTTATTTCATGTATCATAATAAGGGGGTGAATTCAGGTATGATACATTTGAAAGATCTTTTGTAAATGCCACAGTGTACCCCCACCCAGCACAATAAAGAAAAAAAAAGTTTCATGTTTGCACAATGTAAACTCTCAATATTAAATATTATATTTTTAAATATAAGCTTTTACTGCTCTTTTGTTTAGATGCTGCTTAAGCAATCCATACATTACATATTCACCTTTTTAAATTCCTTATTTTACCTTCCCCCTCTTGTATATGACCTCCCCTTAGTATGACCTGTTTTTCATAATGTTGCTATATTTGTGTTAGGCCTATATTCCACGTATGAAAGAAAACATAAACTTTTGGCCTTCTGAACCTGGCTAACTTCACTTAAGATGATGTTCTCCAGTTCTATCCATTTACCTACAAACAACAAAATTTCATTCTTCTTCGTGGCTGAATAAAACTCCATTGTATATAAGTACCTCATTTTCTTAATCCATTCATCAGTAGTGGGGCATCTTGACTGTTTCCATAGCTTAGCTATTGTGATTATGCTGCAAAAAACATGGGTACTCAGGTGCCTTTATTTTAACCTGATTTATATTCTTTGGGTATATCATTAGGAGAAGAATTGTTGGATCATATGGTAGTTCTATCTTAGTTTTTTGGGGAGCCTCCATACTGTTTTCCATAGTGGTTGTACTAATTTATATTCCCACCAGCAGTGTATGAGGTTCCTTTTTCTCCTACATCCTTGCCAACATTTGTTGCTGTTTGTGTTCTTGATGATAGCCATTCTAACAAGAGTGAGATGGAATCTTAACATGGAAAACACAATTTCTTGTTTCTCTCTCTGATAACATTTATGATCATTTGCTGCTTATCGCCTATGTTCTGAAATTTCCTAATGACATTTCTTGATGTCTATTTTTCTTCCTTATACTACTTCACATTCCATGGTATCTCTTCAATGTGAAGACTTGGCTCATTAGTTCTGGGACATTTTTTGAAAATTTTCTCTCCTCAACTTCCTCTGAAATGCCCTTTACAAATGTGGTTCCCTTCTACCACTATGGACTAATGAGTTTTCAAGTTTAAGTAATTCTTCAAGGTTGCCTCTTCTACCTTTCTCAAAGATGATTGCTAGAATAGAATCTGCAACCAGAAAGAAAAGAATACTTCTTCCAGCCAATAGGAAACTTTATCTAAGTTTCCACTGGATTTGGATTTTGAGGAATCAAAAAATTTACCACAGGAGGACCTCATTCTGGGGTTTCCTCCTCTGTGAATGCCTGCTTAAACATATCCACCATCCCTAACACCACTCAGTATTAAAGAAGAAGGGAATAAGGAAGGAGACAATGGAGGGTAAGAAGTTGATGACTCCCAACTTGGTGTTAAACTTTTTATGGCATTGGTACCTATGAGTGGTATCATAGCAATGAGAGGACTTTCTATTTTTGTTTACATGAATTTCTCCCAGAAAATTGTGGGCCTCAAGAAGAAAGGTAGACTATATTACTTACATTTATATTACTGATGTTTAGCAGTGTCTGTCACACATTGGGTATTTTTAAAATATTGTTTAATAGTGATTATGATCTGAGTATTGTCCATTTTATAGCGCCTTGAATTCAGCCACAGGAACTTCATTTCTGCCTTGTTCTCCCAGTCTATAGCATCAAAGTAGCAATTTTTATCAGGCTCTTCTTCTAATTGTCAGGCCAAATTATAAGGGGTGTGCTTATTTCAGAAGCAAGTATAAAATAGAGCATGATCATTTGATACCTTATACAGGTCAATGTTTCTCAAACTAGAATGTCTCCAATTATTGTTTTTATATATAATAATATTCAGCTCTGTTTAATTCAAAATATATACTATGTGCAGTGAAATGCTTGTTAAGCAGTGGTGTTACTAACCCAAAGAATAAATTTGAAGTCAGTTTGTGTCTACACATCCTATGTACTAATATCGCAGAAAGCAACTTTGGACATCCTCTACAATCTTTGCGTGACTAGAAGTACGTACAGTCTCTTGTAATATTAATACCATGGAGTTTGAACACATGCACTTCAGAAGTGAAAAATCCCCCATGGAAACTCACTTCATAAAATCAACACCCTGGAATGACCTATACTTTTCCAGATCCTTCATCCAAATCCTCAGCAGTTGAGCTCATTTTGAATGAGACTGTACAAAAAGGATTAGAAAAGAAATGTTACAGAAATTTAAAAAATAAGTGGTCAGTAGTTTGAAATATAATTTTAAATAAGGCAACCTGGTGAGGAAGTTTTTATAGACTTCTCTGTCTTACAGAATGGATTGTAGTCAATTTGAGCAACTTAGAAAGTGAGGACAGTATGCTTAGATGCAATTGTCAATAATCTAATGTTCCAATGGACTAATATGTTTTTCAGCCTTTAAATCATAAATGTAGATTTAACCATGAATCTTAAAAATCACAATTGAAATAGGAAGTACGCATAAGAAAGTTTGTGGAGATGAATTTTTTTTTAAACACCTTCTAGCTGACCATTAGTTTGGACTGGGTTTTCAAAAATGTAATGATGATGGTCATAATGATAGTTAGAACAAGTTTTGACAGTATTCATTTATAAGAATGATTTGGAAATGTCCAAAAAACCTGGATTAGAAATAAGAACAGAGTTAATGTTTTGTTGATTCTGTGTAATTTTCAGTCTCTCTACAGTTATATTGTCTGAAATTTCTTGAGCTGTCTTCCCTTGTCATGATAGAAATAGTTACCTACTTGTCAAGGTTAAGTGAAATTAGTTAATATTGCTGTAAAGTCCTAAGGCAAAAGTTATTGCACATTCTTTTCCCCAAGGAGTTAGTAAAACTTCATTTCTCCTTAGTAAAAGAAATGTATCCAGAATTCAAGCTCAACTTAATGTAAATGTGGCTTAGGAATGGCACAATAATACCATTTGGCATTTCTTAAGTTAGCCTGCTCATTCTACACTGGATAAAAATAAAGAAAAGAAAGCATCTAAAAGAGAACCACCTCATTACAACCCAAATCTGCCCATGAAAGCAGAAATTTTCTGGCTTGCATCTATGAGTTTTTTCCACTTTCCATAGCCTCCCACACTATAATGACTTATGCATGGAATTCAGAGACTTTATGTTTTCTTTTGAGTGCAAAGTGAATGCTAACATGGAAAATGTGAAGAGTGGCCATTTTCAAAGATGGCCATCAACCTTTGAGAGAATCAAATAGTATACAGAAAGATATTTGGTCAGGATGGGGTACCAAAATTCTAGTATATTCCTTAACTTTTCCAGTCTTTAGAGAATTGGACTATTTACCTTTCAGGGATGTACTTAGTCAGAATAGCTTGACATCTTTGGTGGGGAGTCAGAGTTTTTTGAAATGACCCCAAACCAGTTCAGCAATTAATCTTGCTAATAGCTGAAATCAATAAACCAACCCAGGTTCTGTGCTAGCAAATATTGTGCAGAGTGAAAACTAAGTGTCTGCTCTTTGAAGAGGATTTTTCACTTAACATCCAGTAATTTGGTTTCATTTAGAATGACATTTGGGTTGGTTAACTTTATAAGGTTGAATTTACATGGCTATGACTCATTTCTCTCAAAGAGTTGTGAACAATTCAAGGCAAAATCATGGCTACCTGGATAGCCTTTGTGTTCTGAGCTGCTCTTATGCATAATTTTCTTGTAGATTTAATTTTTATAGCCAAATTCTAACTAAAAGATGCAAACTGAAATCTTTAAAAACAAAGAAATGAGACTTGAGCATTTGAATATTAGTCCTAATTGTCTTATAATGTTCATATCTTCCTTTTGGTCCACTTGAATTCCTGAGTGAGGGATTTAGACTTTATACATACTAAAGGCATGTGTGGAGAAGGGAAGAAAGTAGGACCTCATAATTCCACAGAGACAACGAACTTTTTTGACTATCTGAACCCGGGCCTTAGAACCAAGACCTAGGTTGAATATGAACTCACTTCCCAGGTATATAACTTTGGACAAGTTATATAACATTTTAAGGCTTCAACAATTGCTAACAAGTAATAGCTGTATCTACCCTAAAGCATTGTAAATGGTATGCATTATACTCCTTATCTATGAGTAGTGTACAAACATGAGCTACAGTGGATTATTCCATGTTTACACCTGGGAATCCAGGAACAAATACACGCTGGTCATTTGGGATAGGTATTAGCTCTTTCACACAGTAGTCTATACCCATGCTGTCTATACCACTCAAGTTCTGTATGAACAGTTCCCTAGTGGCCTTTGTTGCAATTTAAACCAAACAGCAAATAGATTTCCTTAATCACTTGTGTTCACAAAAGTAAATCAGGCAAGCATGCTGGACAAAGCAACAAATTTCTTCCAGCGATTTTTATTAAGAATTGCAATCCAAATATTTTCTTAATGGAGTTGTAAATGTCTGATATTTCCATTATTTGTGTCTTTATTCATTAATAGAGCAGCCCAACTGCTTTTAAAAGTATTACTGATAATTTTGACCAGAAATATTAAATGAAAATTTTTCTCTAATATTAGGCTGCTTCTTAGGGAAATAGCACAACTAAAGATATTAAACTGAAGCTTTACAAAATCTCTTTCCTCTGTTTCCATAGCACAGATTAGATGGTCTTTTCTAGAATATATTTTTACTTTGGAAATGTATTTACACATATATGTTTTAAATTTTTAATAGGTGGTGAAATGACAAAGCTCACTCTCTTCTTTGCTCCATGAATTTGAAATAATTTTTCATCAAGTTCCATCTCCTTTAGCCTCATATGGAATGTATCTCTCTCTCTGTTGTTAAACTATGATGACATGTCTGTAGCTATCAGAAAGAGAAGCTGGGAAGAGCATGTGACTCAATGGATGGGACAACCTTTTAATTCTGATGATTATAACACAGCATGTCATCATGGACTCATAACCGACAGCTTGCAGGCAAGTATGGAAAAAGATGCAACTCCAAATGTGGACCGCAAAGAGAAGTGTATTTCACTACCAGACTGCTGTCATGGATCAGAGATGAGAGATTTTCTTGGGAGGCCAATGGGTCACATTTCAAAGGAAGTGGATGAAAATGACAGTCATGAAGGTGATGATCAGTTTCTTTCTCTGGAAGCCAGCACAGAAACACTCGTGCATATTTCTGATGATGATACAGATTCTGATCTATATCTTACAGGTGACAAACAGATTTTAACTACCAATGGGTGTAAAATATCAGGCCAACACAGTGTTGACGAAGCAGGCTCCTTAGCAAAAGCAGTGCCTAGTACGGAAAGTAACCAAGACAGTTATAACTCCTGGGGAAAGGCTGGTGAAGCTAACTTAGCACTGGTGGAAGAAAGTGGGGAAAGAAAAGTTGTTGATACTATAAGTAAAAGCCCGGAGCTTTGTAATGATATAAGCTTAAGTGAAATAGAAGATGTACGCAAAGTGAATACATTTGATTCTTTTAATGTGCAAGACATTGTACCTGAGAAACAGTTGCTTAATTCTGCTGTAATTGCACAACAACGAAGGAAACCTGACTTGCCTAAAGATGAATATGAAGGAAACAGCCACCATGTAATACAAAATGAACTCTTCACTGTTCCTTGTGCAGACAGAGGACTACCATTATTAAAAGCAGATTGTGGAAGCTGCCTTCTGCAGCCTTCTTCCTGCCCCAGTGGAATGTCAGCTGAAAATGGCCTGGAGAAGAGTGGTTTCTCAGAACATCAAAACAAAAGTCTTCCCGAGGTCAAAGCAGAAGGTGGCATGCAGTGTTTATACTTAAAGGACTCTCTGACCACCCAGGAGCTCACAGAGAGCCAAGTCAGATTGCGCAAGAAAAAGGTAAGATGCATACACAGATCATCTGGCTCTGGAAATTTTGTAAATATCCTTCTTTACATTACTTACTATTTTGCTTGAACTAAAAAGATATGTAGATGTTTCTTTTGCTCTGTAATGCAGCTGCATGACCTAAATATGATCTACCTGGTGAGACCATCAAAATATTCAAAAACTGAAACATAATAATAGTTCTGTTTCACTAACGGCCTTTATGATGGCTTAGGAGCATTCTGGAATCATGTTCAAGATTGGATTTGGCATTGCTTTCCTTAGCTGGAATTGAGCAGCCACAGATAGTTCAAGGTCTTTGAAATTATATATAAGGCTTTATGAAGACTAATCTCTAATTTTTGGAAGGAAAAAGACATGATTTCTTTTTATTTGGCATCCCTGATTAAAACAGTTTCCTTTTTCCCTTTGAAAAGTGTATTTGATCACAATAAGAGTGGCTAAGTCATATGTTAAAAATAACCCCCTTAAATATTTAAAAGCAACAATATTTACTTCCCCCAAATGTGCTGATACCTTTTGAAATGATACTAACACATTTTACCATCAATAGATATATCATGGTGTCTATTTCTTGCCACAACTGTTCTTTAACTCTTAACCAAAAACAAAAGGCCAATAACTGAAATTAAATTTTTATGCCAAGTCCTCTTTGACTAATTCTGGAAATGCCATGCCCCTGAAAAAGCTTCCAAATAAGAGAACCCAGAACTATACATGAATTTGTGATTTACCTACTGAGCTCTTGATCAAAATTTTAGGATTTTGGAGAACTCCTAAAACTTTTTAAACAATGTAATACTGACATAAATCCAAGTAAAATTCCATATGGCAATTGATGTTGAAGAAACCCTGCAGTTTGATACTTTATACAATAATTAAAACATACTTTCTTGTCCCTCTCTGTATATAATCTTAATCCATAATTGCAATTCTACTAAACACAAAATTAATGTTCTTAGTTCTGTTTAACTTGGGCTATCTACCTATAAGGAGGAAAGAAAAACTCTCCAATCATCTTTGTGGTGAAAAAAAATCTGGTTTCCATAAACTGTGGTTTTGGTAATAAACTATATCAATAATGTGTCATGAGTTAGCTTAAGTGAACTCAAAGACTTCACAGCAAAATCGATGTGCTCAGACTACATGCCCACAGAGCATTCTGTGCTCCTGGCAAACTCTCTCCTCCTTACATAAGTTGTATTAAAATGTTAATGCGCCATGCAGTTGTTATGATTGGAAAGCTCAGGTCACTTTTTCAGAAATTTCCATATATCCTATCAAATCTGTTGGAGGAAATGCAATAATGACATAAGAAAGTATTAACTGACCTATGACATAGCTCCCCTAAAATAAGACAAATCCTGTCCAACTGCCGGCAGAAACATTAAACATTCCCAAACCATATGCTCACCACTTGGACATTTATATCAATACTAAGAATGTTGGAAAGAATTTACTCTTGGGCACGTCACTATAGCATGGCTGAATTTTGAGAGCTGTAATTATATCTCATTTACAAGTTCTAACTCTATTCTATTTTAAGCATTTCGTCATTCTGAAGTGTTGTGGCATTGTCTGGTGGAATATTTACTTTGCCTCTACAATCCATTTGGGTGTCTTGGAATGAGCAGATTATAGCAAAAGTTTAGGTTCAAAATTTACAAAGTATGGTTATGGGAAAAGTGCTTATAACTAAAATGTGTAGGAAGTTTTGTTTTATTCACTATTGAATGAGTGTTAAGATATCTTTGAATTGGTAATCAGCTATTTTAAAACATTACCAAAAAATGTCACATGTTCATTAAAAGGACATGCACAGAGATACTCGTTGTATTGTATGTTACTGAAAACAGGAAATATCTTAAATTTTGATTAATAAATTATTTAATTATTTATTATATAAAATGCTATGCAGCTGTTAAAAAGATTTAGTGAGATCCATGTGTCCTTTGAAAGATGTTCATGATAACGTATCTGGAAACAACAGTGACAAACCAGTATGCATAACATATCTAAGCTTCATATGAAAAAATATATATACACATACAGAAATTAATAAAGCTCTAGACAGAAGAATAAACATTTCTATATGTCTGAATAAGACAATGCAAAATCCTGCCTAAATACACAAAATTAGCAGCAGTTACTTTGAATGAGTGCGATTAAAAGGGTAAAAGGCGGAAATTTTTATCCTATATAGTTTTTATAAAAGGTAATAGAATTGTGGATGAAATGCATACAATAAAGTACAAAAAAAGAAATATTTTCAGGAACATAAATATTTGAAGCATTTTCTGCATATACAAACAATCCTTTATATGGATTCTTGTTGTTAATTTTATGACATGAAAGCAAGATATCTTTAAAGTTTTTCAAAATGCCAATACCTATTGCAATCAAATACTTGCTTTCTAATGTCTATGAAACTATTTTAAAGGAGATAAGTCTTTTTGAGGGACACACAAGCCTCATTTTAATATCTACAGCACATTAGGTGTCAGAAATTGGGAGGTGTTTGCCTAATTATCTGCATCGTTTAAACTATTTGGCAGCCATGGTGAAACTGCGAGATGAGAACTCGTGAAGGTAAAATGGGTTATAAGCAAATGTAATTCTAGTTAAAAGAACTTTAACCAACTTGTTACCTGAAGGTCCTGTCAGTCAACCAAATTCTTCATCGAATTTCTGAGCATGGATTTCTCTTGTCATGATAGAATCAAGGTTCTAACACTTGAAAAAAGAATCTAAAACAGAGTTATAACTTATGAGGCACACTGGATGTGGTGGGACATGCCTGTAGTGTCAGCTGGAGAGCTGAAGCAGGAAGATTGTGAGTTCCATGCCAACCTGGGCTACAAAGCAAGGTCCTGTCTCAAAAAAGCCAGAAGAAAGAAGAGTGATCCTCTGAATGTATTGAAATAGTGCTCTAGAGACACTGCTCTATGTTACTACACATTGCCATTCCTTGAAACCCATAAATTTTGATAGGAACTCAATGTTTTTGCATGACTTTTTAATGGTGTCCAGTGATATTTCTGACCAGCCAGGGTAGCCATACGTATATGTACTAAGTGTCTAAATTAGAGAGGACTGCATCTTTAGTATGTCTAAGCACTGACCGTTTGAGCTAATAATTTCCTTAAATATGACTAAGCAGGTCATGAAATGGAAGTCACTAAAATCAAAGGAAAACCAAATGGATAATGAAAAGACTTTAGTGAGTGAGTCATATAGTCATGTGGTATGCGATGAGTACATTCAGATGGCCTTGGCTGCATCCCTGGGTTGAGACAGCTGGTTAAAGAAAATTCTCACAGACAGATTCCAAAGAATTCTGGAGGAGGGAGACAGTCTAAGAAGTGGTCTCTTTAAACCAAAAGAGATGTGAAGATGGAAAATATGTAGGAAAAGACTTGAGGTTACACTTTAAAAAAAAAAGAGCTAGTGTATTTATCATTGATAGTGGTTTACTAATTAAAGAGAGTCCAAAATTCAGTCATCTATAAGGACTATTTCTTTAAATATTCTCCAAATTTTTAAACAACCACAGTAATTATATAAATGTACAAACATATTTTATTTGCACACATAAGAAAGACAAGGAATAAGCCATATTACAAAGCAAAATAAACTCAAAAAATATATTGCAAAATAATATGAACTTTAAGAAGACACCTAATTCTGCATTCCAGTAAAACCCTCACATTGCTACAGTAAATTAAACAAATTTTAGAATCTGATTTTTTCACTCTGTATTAGTTGTAGACTTTGACTTCACTGCAGTCACTGAAAGACAGCATTATAGTGGCTTAAACAACCAATTTCTCTCTCACACACTTAATACTTGTGCATAAGCAGTCCTAGACCAATATGTTTTCTAAATTCCAGGCTCATTTAATCTAACTGCTCTCTTCTCTTGAGCCATCATCATATTCAGGCCAGAGCGAAGGGTAACCACACCCCTGTGTACAGGTAGCACCCAGAAGATGCATACTATTTTCCCCCCAAATTTCATGGGTTAGAACTTAGTTGTATGGACACTCCTAACAACATGAGAGCTGAGAATTAGAGTCTGCGTTATGGGCAAGCATTATTTATATTGAGGGATAACATAAACATTTGAGGAATAACACCTAACAATTATATTCCACGATTTTATGGCATGTTGTGAACAGAATAATTGCATACAAGTTCTGTAATATTCCATCTAAATACTTAGTACCTTTCTACATTAGAAAACTATTGCCAGACACTGGTGGCTCACACCTGTAATCCTAGCTACTCAGGAGACAGAGATCTGGAAGGTTGCAGTTCCAAGCCAGCCCAGGCAAATAGTTTGTGAGAGCCTATCTCCAAAAATCCTTCACAAAAATAGGGCTGGTGGAGTGGTTCGACGTGAAGGCCCTGTATTCAACCCCAGTACAGCAAAAAGAAAGAAAGAAAACTGTTCTACATATTAAAGTAATATATGACCAAATACTTCACTATCTCTTATAGAAAAACAAACCAGAAGCAAAGAATTATACTATACTAACTGTACTTTCAGTGTCTGGAAGATATATATTGATTAGCCAAGACTCATTAAAAAATCAAATATTGTCTACTTACCCTATCTTTAAAATAGGCATCACTGTCTTAAGCACTTAAGTGGCTCAAGTGCTTGAGTGCCTGCCTAGCATATGTGAAGCTCTGAGTTCAAACCCTAGTACCACCAAAAAAATAAAATATGCATAAATTTGGTAAAAGCACATCTGTCCTGCAAATGGCACTTTCTTCTATGTCTCCTGAATGTCTACATGGGAGCCTTGTAACAAGGAAAGGGTAACTTTGACCAATAGGTAACATAAAGAAGATAGTAAATTATGCAAAACATGAAATAGCATAAAGTGGGAGGCTGGCTAGAAGAATACAAGTGAAAAAGAAAAATTGACTAAGAAATAAGACCCCAAAAGATGGTTAAACCAAGGTCCAAACATGTCACTAGACATGTTGAATGAAATCAAGAGGTAGAGGAAGAATTAAAGTTTGTGAATAAATCTTGTATCATTTGACAGAGGGAAAGAATGTAATGCATTGGAGGTATATGCAGCTCTGCTAATAAATTCATAATAACAATATTATTTAATAATAAGGTCAGAATGGCTTTAAAGACACATGTCTATAGAGCAGATTGTATTTCATAAGTTCTCTTGATTTTAAGCTTTGTCCC